TGAGTGTTGATGTTAGACTTAAATTCGACTAGTGCAAGGAGGTGAGAATCTTTGATTGAATTTGTGAAGCATAAGTTCATCTTCTGTATGCCTTCAATATTCAGGAAAGAAAACCAGTTACAGAGAACAGACAAACAGTGAGAAAAGGAACACCAAGAATTTACTAGCCCTCATAGACATGAACCCAAAAATAGGGAAAAGATAAATTATACAATACAAACCGGGAAAGTCTATCATGCTTTAGGTGTGCTGTATGCATGTACATTGCGTGCTAAGCACTGATATTTGTTGAATAGAATCAGTCCAGCACTGAATTTCTTATTGTTTAATCTATAAGTAGTAATATAAAACTTAGGTACTTGCAACAACTGCACTTACTACTTACTGACTCCCTGAAACATGTATATGTGCATTGGACAGCTGCAGAGACACTCAAAGGTCTAAGCCACCAACACTGACTCAAATCAGTTTATTTCTTTTGTTTTTCGGTTTTGGGAAGGAAGTTCAAACATTAATTTCAGCATATGCATTAGTGGGGTTAGAGTATTTCCAGTTGAAAAATGACAAAGAATAAGATTATACAGTCTGGATTCCTGAACTTAAGACAAATAGTTGAGTTTTTAATTCTATACTTAACATATATCATAATCATCAAAATGCTCGAGGCGACGCCTGGAAGTGACATTAACCTGTAAATGGTATTATTTTAAGATTAAGTTGAAGTTTAGAGAGTATTCAAAGGTGCAAATCATTTAATGAGCAGCAGCCACTTGGGGTCCATGGGAATAAGATTATGAAGGCTGCTGTTCAGGTCTCACTTTCCTTTTTGTGTTCTATTTTGTCCTTAAAATATACAATTAAGATTAATCTTTCCCAATTCCAATGCTTTGTGCTGGATTAACCTCTCGGTATTGGAATGCCCATTCCAAACACAAACATAGTTGAAGTGAAAGGCACAGGGACAAGACAACAGTACAGTTCCCTTTTCCGTTCTGTGATCTGAAAGAAAGATTTATTTAACTTGGATGATACAATAAGACAACTTCTTAGCATTGAATTCCCCTGCAAGGAACGGGCAAATCTTGAGAAGGAAAAAAAAGAGGACAGAAAAAGCAAAGGACAGGAAAGGGATAGACCAACAGCTAGTTAGATTTGTTCTTCTTTTTTGACATGATTAGATTTACGGGAAGCAACTCTTTCGGCCAACGGGTGAGTAATTGAAAAGGTATGTAATGTAACTATATATATAGATTTCACTACCAAAAAAAGAAGAGAAAAACCTTGGGACGACATATTAATTTCTTCCAGTTTGAAAAATTAAAAAAATCTTTGAGATTTGGAAGGTTTTGTGGATGACAAAATGGCCCCGCAACGATATTTTGAGCTATCCAATAAGGAAAGAAAAATCAAGTTGCACGCCTACAAGGCGAACAACGCAAAGTGGTGGTTCATGGTTGACTATGCTTTAATTTTTCTGTCTAATTTGTTAAATATTGACTAAAGCTCGAGTAACGTCTTTATGTTGGACAAGTAAAGGTAGAAGGAATCAGTCAACGTCGGCTATGGCCTTTGGAATCATGTCATGTCAAATTCTAATGATTACCACTAGTTAATTTCATAACAAAACTTTAAGCCAATTTACTTTCCTTTCTTTCTTTCATACAAGCACGCAAAATGATTATTATTTATCGCTAATTAAAACATTTTACTCATTCCCACCAAAAAATGATATAACCTTACCAACATTTGGATACCGTTAGGTCGACTTTTAATAAATGATGATGATGGTTTAAGTATTACTTCACCGTGCAAGATTCAGACATTTTGGGTTTTGATCATTGAATAAAATGAACCTTTTTCTTTCCAATTTGCATCGTGAGAGGCAGACGGTACGTGCATTTTGGAACACTAGTTTCCACTTATTTGGTTTGCCTTCTCTCAAACTTTTTGATGTTGTTGGCCTGTCGGAGATGGGAGCATGATACCACTTGCCTAGGATTTTTGATTTTTGAGCATCACAAGTGTTTGACTCTCAGACCTCTTTAGACTTTTACTTATATTTATGCAAAGTCTGGTTACTTATTTTTCTGAGGTATTGAATGTGAGGTTCTCTCTAGCCCGCTAGTCTTTCTCTAAAGTTGCATGGCGTGAATCAGAGTTTAAATTGAATTTACTTTAATATTACTTTTTTTAAAAAAAATTTAATTCAATAAGACATATTGTGTTTGAGAATCTTCATCTTGTTTTTCCCACAGCTCTCGCCATGAGATTTTCCTTCTTTTTTCTGTTTTCTATTATTATTACTATTACTATTACTTTTTGGGTGTCTTTCAGTATCCTATGAATCACCATCAAGCCAAGGATCGGTCATGCCCAATATTTTCATACTCAATTTGTCAAAAGTTTTACCAAATCAATTATAACGTTCCTTTTGTTTTATATTAAAAAAAAACGTTGTTAATTTTTGTCTTAAATCATCATCGATACATTTCAAACGAATTTGGAGAAAATCACTGCTATTAACTTACATTGGATTTTAAGTGTCAACAAATCAATAAATAATTTTGAATTTTCAATATTTTATGTACCATTAAAAACGAATTAAGAGTAAAAACCTCTTTAAAATTTTAAAAGTCATGGATCGTTGAAGGGTTCCAAGTTTATTTGGTTAAGACTTAAGAGTTAGTAAAACACAATATATAACACAATTTAAGGTATTTAATCTTCAAATATTGTATGAAAAGCATGAGATTTGATCTCTTTTATCTATTAGAGAAGGAAAAAAAAAAGAAAGTAGTAGGTGGATTATACATGTTTTTTGCAGTCGAGGTGTCGTTGGCAAAGGCCGAGACCTAACAAGGCATCCTAGCTACTTTAATTTTTTTGTCGATATATTGACCATAATTCATTCAATAGATTTGCCCCACAATAATAATGTAATATACAGCTGCCTGGATTTTAAGAAGCTTTTGACCCTTACCCTGCTGCCAAACTTAAGCATTCAAGGTGAAACTTTGTGGGAAGGATCTTTTCAACAGTAGTATTTTAATTAAAGGTTTGTGGCTTCCAGGAAATAGGAACTAAATGCATTTCCATGGAAAGAATGACTAGTGGAAAACTTGACGCATAACATTCTCAGGGTTTAAATGACTGAAGGTGATTTTTGAGAATGAAGGTCGGAGACTTGGAATTCAATTTTTGATGTAAGTTTGTTGGCTTACTTTGTCATGTCTCTCTCTTAGACCATAGTCACAGAGAAGGGCTGCATTTCAGTCCATATCTGAAAAAAGAAAAACCGTGGAAATACGTTTCCAAAAGCATGGTCTTCAGGATCTAGAAACTGAAATTGCAAGCGTTGGGAAAATGCCTTGAGAGCAACTTCTCCTAATGTGTCATTTTCATTTGTGTTAATTATTGTGTGGAAAAAATGGTATTATACGACGACTAGTTTTCATTCGTGTGAATGAGATTTTTGGCTTTGATGGAAAGAGGAAAGTAGGCTTAAATCTTTTCAGAGGAAGCCAAGCTCCATCTAGGTAGATGGCTATCAGTATTAATGCATTGCGTGCAAAGCATGCTGCTATAGCCCAACAATGGTGCCACTCGCCCTAGCTACTAGGAAACAAAATTTCATACTAACAAGTTGCTATATATAAATACATAGAAAAAAGCATTACCCTGAGTTTCCCATTTTTCCTTTTTTTTTTTTCCAATAAAGATTAGGTTCCATTGAAGAAGTGGGTATGGAGGTGTAAAGTGCATTGACCATAACTGAGTTTCAGAAGATGACAGTTTGAGAACTCAGTTGTATCAATGGCCTTAAAATCTTGGTAATAGAAATTTTCCTTTTGACCCATTGTTCAATTAAAGATGTGTTCAACTACAGAACATACATGACAGTGTTGATTTTTAAAAGCAAGCTCTTACTTCAGCCACACTAGTAAAGAGTTTGTGGTCCTGTTATTCTCTTTGGCCCCGAACATGTGAGAGAACAAAAAGAAATTAATGATAGAGAGAAAGATACGACTGAGGAATAGAGACAGGGCATATATGTAGGTGAAACTGATCTTATTTTCTTAAATTAATACACAAGGAAGGAAAACATAAATAAGGTGGGGAGAAAAAAAGATGTCTATTGAAAAAGAAAAAAATTGGTAAGTACAGCTCAAACTATAATTATATGGTATAATCTTACTATAAGAGAGATATTTAATTCTTAATTGAAATTGATTAAGAATCACATTTGCCAGCTATATTTTATCATATGGTAAAGGTTTAATTGAGAAAGTAATTATTGAATTCACTTGTTATTATTTTAAATTATACATGCATAGTTCAACAACTTTCGTATAAAAATGACAAATTGAGTGATCTCAATCAGATTCAGATCAGTCAACAATCTCCCTCATTTTCATCTTTCTTTAAATATAATAGATTGAGTGATCCCAAGAAAACTATTGCACTTCAATCACTTATCTTCAATATAAAATATTCAAATTGAGATCCAACATTGGATAATCAAACATTGTTTGAAATTTAGAGATATAATCAAAGAACAAGAGACAGGGCTTGAATATGCATAAGCCCATTATCCCATTATCATCAAATTTGATTCAAAGAGTGTGGGGATTTGGCATACGTTTTTAGTTTTATTATAAATAAAACTGCTAAAGAACCCAAACAAAAGAGGTTGAAAGTTGAACAGAGAATACACCTGTAGATGGCCAAGGGTTTGACTAAAGGGGAAGGAAGTGCATCAGAATTACCTACTCCCCTCAATTAAGCCAATGGAATCCCACGTGATCAGAACAGGGACTTAAAAAAGGCAAAGTAATATCTGTTGCTTAAATAGCTCAGGTCTTTCCAGCCCCGTAAAGCACTTTAGGTTTGAGTCTCTCTCTTTGTTACTGGTAAAGTAACTGGTACTGTAATTTTCTTTAAACCGTTGAGAGACATAAATTCACCCCAAAATCCAATTTTTTTTTTCCTATCCCAACCCAACAAGAACAAACAAAAGAAGAAAAAAACCAAGACAAAACGGGAAACATGAGAAAGTTTGAAGACTATTACAGAACATGAAGACAATGAAATAAAGAGATGGAAAGTAATAGAATTAGTGCAGTAGTGTTTTTTTTTTTGGAAGCTTAGCTGGCTTGGGCGGGATTACCGGAGGTCAAACTAAAAACTGAACCATCGCCGGACCTGGCTCTTTTATCAGACCAAAATTACGGAGCCACTGGTTCAGACTTCACCCCAATGGTTCAAGCCTGCTATTAAGCCCTTTTTTTATTTCTTAGTTTTCACCCTGTCCTTTTTTGTCTCTCTGAAAGTTCAACTCTTTTCAGTTTTTTTTTTCGTAAGTTGATTTGTCAGAGCTTAAATATTTAGCCTTTTTGTTTATTCGTGTCCCTTCAGAACAAGAGAAGGGAAGGGAAAGAGTGTACAAGTCCACCACTTAAGTTTTTGACCAGCCACTCTCCTCCTTTTCTCTTTCTCTCTAGAATTATTATTGTTTAATTAATTAACATTAGTTTGGCCATTACTTTTTCAAATTTTATTTTTTTCTCTCATCTTCTCTTTTTGTCAACTGAAGAAACTGAAGGATTTGGAGAGAGAGAGAGAGAGAGAGAGAGAAAAGCAAAGAAGAAGAGAAGTTGATACAGATTGGTTACCAACAGGTTTGAAGAAATAAAAAATAGAGCTTTGGTGTATCAAGGTAAGAGCTTTTTTGGGTTTTTCCTTTTGGTGTTGAGGCTTCAGAAGAGAAAGAGAGTTACCATTTTTTTTCTAAAGGGCTGTCTTTTGTTTTTGTCAAATTTACATTACATGCAAAGATACATGTATTCTGTTTAGAGAGAAAGAAAGAAAAAAAGAAATATGAGAATATTTAGATGATTGGGGTCAGTGTCCATGAGCCATGGTGGATCAGCGTAGCATAGGAGTAGCTTTCTTATATCTCTTGTTGTTGCTGTTATTTGAGTCTACATTTGAGCAACAAGTCCAGCAGCAGCAGCAACCGAGTTCAGGCATTGAGTTAACAGCTTTATTTGAACTCAGATCCTCTTTGGGGCTTAGAAGCAAAGATTGGCCTAGAAAAGTTGACCCCTGTTCAAGTTGGAATGGTATAAGATGTGAAAATGGCAGTGTTATTTCGATTAACATTTCTGGGTTTAGAAGAACAAGGCTTGGTAAACAAGACCCACAGTTCGCTGTTGATTCTCTTGCAAATTTTACGCGTTTGGTTTCCTTTAACGCCACTAGATTCTTGCTTCCTGGTTCTATCCCTGATTGGTTCGGCCAAAGGCTGTTGACACTGCAAGTCCTGGATCTCAGGTCTTGTTCTGTAACAGGTGTTATACCTTTGAGTATTGGCAATTTGACTAATTTAACTAGTCTATATTTGTCAGATAATAGGCTCACTGGGCAAATTCCTTCCACTCTGGGTCAATTGTTAAGCCTTTCAGTTCTTGATCTTTCGAAGAATTCGCTTATTGGATCTATTCCGTCACCATTCGGTTCGCTAAGGAATCTGACAAGTCTTGACATTTCTTCGAATAACTTAACGGGGTCAATTCCTCCAGCCATTGGGGCACTTTCGAAGCTACAAAGTTTGAATCTTTCGAATAATAGTTTAACTTCTTCAATACCTGCACAGCTTGGGGACCTTGATAGCTTAATTGACCTTGATCTCAGCAGCAATGATTTGTCAGGTTCGGTGCCACAAGATCTTAGAGGGCTGAGGAATTTGCAGAGAATGGACTTGGGGAACAATGGTCTCAGTGGGTCTCTGCCGGTCGATTTGTTCCCTTCTCCAAGTCAGTTGCAGGTTATAGTTCTGAGAAATAATAGTTTCGTTGGTGACCTTCCTGAAGTATTATGGTCAATACCTAGGTTGAACCTGCTCGATATCTCTCACAATAATTTCACTGGGACGCTGCCTAATTCTGCTTTGAATGATAATGCTACCGCTGCAGAACTTAGCATTTCCCAAAACAAGTTTTATGGAGGTCTCACAACTGTACTCAGAAGGTTTAGTTCTATTGATTTGTCTGGAAACTATTTTGAAGGCAGGGTTCCAGACTACATGCATGACAATGCATCTCTTAGTAGTAACTGTCTCCAAAATTTAACAAACCAAAGGACTCTGACGGAGTGTGTATCATTTTATGCTGAGAAGGGCCTGAGTTTTGATAATTTTGGGCGCCCAAATTCCACAGAACCTCCTGTACCTGAAAGTGGGAAGAGCAACAGAAGGATAATAATATTGGCTGCAGTTTTGGGAGGAGCTGGGCTTATTGTGCTATTAATATTGTTGCTATTGCTGGTCCTATGTTTCCGTAGACGGAGTACAACAAATCATAGAGGGATTGGTGTGGGACCAGTTCCTGCTGGAGAAACACCTTCACCAGGAGTAGCAATTAACTTTTCAAGTCTAGGTGATTTATTTACATATCAGCAACTTCTTCAAGCCACTGGTGATTTTAGTGATGCAAACCTCATTAAGCATGGTCATTCTGGTGATCTCTTTAGGGGTATCTTAGAAGGTGGTTCTTCTGTTGTCATCAAAAGGATTGATTTGCAGTCAATAAAGAAGGAAGCATACCTTTTGGAATTGGATTTCTTCAGTAAAGTTTCACATACACGCGTAGTTCCCCTATTGGGACACTGCTTAGAGAAAGAGAATGAAAAATTCCTGGTTTATAAATATATGCCAAATGGAGACTTGTCAAGTTCCTTGTACAGGAAAAACAGTTTGGAAGATGATAGTTTACAGTCATTAGATTGGATAACAAGATTGAAAATTGCTATAGGGGCGGCAGAAGGCTTATCTTATTTGCATCATGAATGCTCACCACCCCTTGTCCATAGGTATTTTTGCAGCTTTCTTCCTCTTATGCTTAAATTTCTTTCAGTTTGCATAATTCTTTTTTCTCATGCATGTGGTAAACTGGGATGTAGAGAAACTCACAGGAAAAACTTCAGAGTTCAGCAATATGGAAGAAACCCTAGTTAATTGGCAAATTTTCATATGATGAGGATTTTGTTACAATAATCAGTTTTCTTTTTCCCTTTTCTTTTGGTAGCCAACACAAATGTATGTTTCTTTTGTTTGTATGCTACTGTGTTGATAATCTGCTTGCATTAACTATTGGTTAATTACTTAATTCTATAAGGCTAATGCTTTGGCAGCTTCAAGTGTATCTTCATTTCATTGGCTGGGCAATCGATAATTATTGATTAGTTTTCATGAGGACTAAAAAACTTGTACAAGCACTGACATGCTCTCTTTTGTTGTGAAGAGATGTTCAAGCTAGCAGTATACTTCTTGATGATAAATTTGAAGTGCGACTAGGGAGCCTGAGTGAGGTCTGCGCTCAAGAAGGCGATGGTCATCAAAATCGAATTACAAGATTACTGCGGTTCCCACAGTGAGTATTCTGTAGCATTGTCTCTGTTTGGATGTATTCAGATTGTGACTATATATAGATGAACATTTAAGCTGGCTTAAGATGTTAGTTGAGCATGTTCTTGCATATGGCTTTTGTTTTATCACTTAGTAAGTGGCCCAATACATTTGACTTAGTAATGTTTTGTTGGTATCCCAGGGGATGGTGGTTCAACATGCTTATATTTTGCAGTAATTAAGTTTCCAGCTGCCCTTTTTATTTCAAATTTGTATTGATTGTTTCCATAAGTTTCCTTAAGTTAATTTTGGATAACAATAGATTTTTGCATTATAGCTTTCATTTACTCACTACCTATCAGCTTCCTTTTGCTGTCATGAGTTCAAGATGTATGAAAAGTCCTAACCTTTGGCTTTGTAACAAAATCAACCTTCTTTTCAGCATCAAGTTGAGGATTTAATGTCTATAGTTTTTAGATGGAAAATCTAATTGAAGAGTGTGGTACTTCTATATTGTTCTATGCTTAGCTACAAATAACATACTGATAGAACATTGTACCATGCACCTTTGGAAAATCAGCTCACTCTGAGTTCTTAACTTCTTATTAATTTGCTTATTATAGTTCTGGGCATATTTTCCCAGGACATGAACATGTTTCCTTGACTTGAAGGGATGTGCTCCAGATCAGGTTTTAATGTGCAATGCAGTAGAGAACTGGCAATTACCTGTTAAATAAATTGTTATATTTTGCTATGGGGTCTGCAGTACTGGCATAGCTTTTAGATGTTTAAAATCCTGGAGCAATAACAGGCATGGTTCTTATGTGTCGGCATTCATAGTAATTACCAAATAGCATATCATATTTCTGCCTTTCTATATTCCTTTTTATAATTTTATTGCTGTTTTTCTGGTAAAGGTTGTCATATAGTTCATTCTTGTTGCGTGCAGGTCATCTGAGCAAGGTTCTTCAGGTATGTGCACATTTTATTTGTAAATATTTCAAACTTAATTTAGATCTCAATCATTATCTCCTGGCTGATCCCTTGTTGATTTGGTAGCATAGTTTGCACTTTAGGTCCAACATGTTTGTTGCAGCTCTTACATGGTTGCAATGTCTTCTGCCATTTGACTAATTAGCAACCATTTGCGTTCAAGCTTCACATTGTGATAGCAGTGAACCCGAAAAATCAACTTTTCTTTCCTTTTGTTCCCCTTTAGGAGAGTGGCAGCTTATTGCCGATATACATACTTATTTAGACTTACCAAATGAATAAATAATTACTCACCCTAGGACAGAAAAAATGTTGCCAGAGAAGTCTTCTTAAATTTTCCTGACCTTACATCATCAGAGGGATTTGCAAACCAGAGGAATGCTATAGAGCATAGAATTGCCATTAAATTGTGGTCAAATTCGAAAGTTGTTTCTGAGATTTCATTTTTATTTGTAAAATGGTCAGGTTCATCTACAGCATTGTGTGCCTATGACGTTTACTGCTTTGGGAAAGTATTACTAGGGCTGGTAACAGGTAAGCTGGACATTAGTGCATCCAGTGATACCCAGATGAAGGAATGGTTAGAACAGACACTACCATATATCAGTATATATGATAAGGAACTTGTGACAAAAATTTTGGATCCATCTCTTCTTGTGGATGAGGATCTGTTAGAGGAAGTCTGGGCCATGGCCATTGTTGCCAGGTCTTGTCTCAATCCAAAACCTTCTAGGCGGCCCCTAATGAGATATATTCTCAAAGCTTTGGAAAATCCTTTGAGGGTGGTAAGGGAAGATAATTCAAGCTCAGCAAGGCTTAGAACAACCTCCTCAAGAGGATCTTGGAATGCTGCTCTTTTTGGTAGCTGGCGTCAAAGCTCTTCTGATGTAGCAGTTATTCCAGCAGCCTCCACTACTAGAGCAGAAGGGGGAAGCAGTTTCAAACAATCAGGAACGACAGGTTCACAGGGCAGTGCTCAGAATGGCGGGGGTGACCATTCATCCTCACGTAGACGGCATTCTAAAGAGATATTCCCAGAACCACCTGAAGCACTAGATATAGAAAGACAGGATCGGGTCTAGCAGAGAGGTTAATTTGTTCTCAATTCTTTCTTAATAAGACAGTAGGCTTCCCATTTGAGTGCCTGCTGGTTGGCAACCTGATGAAGCTCTTCTTAGTTTTGGAGTAAATGGGGTTTTGAGCTTGATATTTGCATTGAATTGGCTGGCCTTTAGATGCACATATCTTCTTTAGAAGTTCATTTGACAACTACGTTTTGTGAAGTCAGTCTCATGAACAGTGGTTCTAGTTCGCGGTTGGATCAGGATGGACAAAGGTTGAGAAGAGAAAGGGGTGCCATTGACCATCATGGTTCATATTTGTTTGACAGCTTGTTTTCGGTTTAAAGCAAGCTACAATTTTATTGTAATTGATTTTTGTTTTGTGGTCCTTTTGTGCAATGTAAATTGTAATTGTCGAGGATTCCTTCATTCAGATCAGATTTTCAGCTGTTCAGAAAGACGGGCTTGAAAATCAATAGAGAAAAGAAATTATACTGAATTTTTTTTTATGTTGCAGTTACGATGGATATATATTAACCGGAAAAGAGTGACACTGTTTGCTACAGGCAGCCTATTGTTACTAACTGAAGGCCATGCTTGGCCAAAAAGGAGAAGGTTCCATTATTTCCAGGAGTTTGTCCTTGGTTTCTAGTGTCTGGTCTCTTTCATAGAATATAGTATTTGTTCTCTTCCTTTTGCATTTGGTCATATCAAAATCAGATGCGTGAAAAAAGTACAGTATGAAGCAGTTGTTGAATATGTATCAAAAGAACAAGAGAGAAGAAATAAAATGGATAGCAACAAACATGTATGCCATGGAAAGATCCACCCACAACATTGACAAGCCAGGACAAAATGATAATAATGCTGATTCCCCATCACCATATGCCTTCTAAAAGGGTTAATGTTGACATTTAACAAAATGGAATATCATTAGGTTCCACCGAGATTTGAACTCGGGTTATTGGATTCAGAGTCCAATGTCCTGACCACTAGACCATGGAACCTTTTGGATCGGAGGGTTCGATATTTGTTCTTACAAATTCTTAACAGCAGGAAATATCTGCCACTTTTTATCCATTTCCAATTCCCACCATAACCAAAGAAGAAGAAAGATGTTTTCTTGCCCCCCTCCTCCTCCCTCCCTCCATCTGCATCTCCACCGTCACCCTCATTCCACCACTGTCTACTCCTCCACCCACTGCCAACCTACCTCCCGCAATCACCACACCTGGCCCTCTATCCCGCACTCATAACGCAAAATCCACCTCCCTCCTCCACGCTCCACCACCACCACCAACAAAACAAAAAGCCCACCCGAAGAAGGCGACAATGACCGACAGCAGCACCAAAATTCCGTCCACCCTAACGACAATAAACCAACAACCCGACAACTTATAATTCCTCATGAAAAACTAAACATCCTAGAAATGTCCTCGCCTCCAAACGCTCCCCGCTGTTCCCAGGCTCCATTTACGCCAATTCTCTCCTTCCTCTCCAATCCGTATTGGGAACCCGAAACGACACACAACACCTAGAATACGATAACGACGAGGACGATGAGGATGACGAGGTGATGATAATGCGGGCGCTTGAGATTAGAAGGAAGGTAACGGCAGAGGTTTTTAAGGGAGCAATGAAGAAGGGAAAATTTGGAATTACGTATTCAACAAATTTGATTAATAGGTTGTCGGAATTTATTGATCACGTGATGATTGAAGCAGCTGCGTTGAAAAGGTTGCCTGAGTTCAAGGATTCTACGTTTAATGTCCGTGCTAAGGCTGTTATTGATGACTCCAATGTTGTTCCTCTTATAAGGTATTCCAAAGTTTACGACATTACTTTTGTTACTTGCTTTTTCGTTCTAGTAAAGTAGAAATAGTAGTGTTTGATTGTGATCATTGTAATTGTATAGGTGGTTGAAGCACAACAACCTCTCATATCCTAAAATTGCGAAGCTGATATGCATGTCTAAAGGAAATCTTGATTCTATACGACGACTTGTTGAGTGGTTGAAGACAGTTCATGTGAAGGCTGAATTTCTGGGGGTTACGCTTTTGAAATCTGGAGATGATATTTTGCAACGTAGCATTGAAGAATTGGATGAGATTGTTGAGTATTTGGAAAGCAATGGAGTTAAGAGGGATTGGATGGGTTTTGTTATTAGCCGATGTCCGAAGTTGTTGTCCTATAGCATGGAGGAAGTGAGAACGCGTGTAGAGTTTTACTTGAACATGGGTATGACTGCGAATGATTTTGGGACAATGGTGTTTGATTACCCCGGCGCACTTGGCTGCTTCACTCTTGAAGAGATGAATCAAAAGGTAGCTGACTAGTTTTTTTTTTTTTTCTCCTTTAACATTCTAGATTCTCTATTCACTTTGATAAGTAAATGTACATGACGAGGTGATCATGAATCAATGGGGTTGCTCTGTAGCAAGTCTTGTTAAAGTGACTGTCCAGTTTGTGTATTTAATGAAGTTATATGTTCCTCTTGTTCATCCAGGTTAATTATATGAAAGAGTTTGGCCTCAGTACTGAATATGTTGGGAGATTACTAGCATTCAGGCCAGAATTGATGGGTTGTAGCATTGAAGAAAAATGGAAGCCTCTTGTTAAGTACTTATACTACCTTGGAATTTCCCGAGATGGAATGAGGAGAATGCTTACCATTAAGCCAATGGTTTTCTGTTTTAATTTCGAGACAACCATCGCACCTAAGGTAGTGATTATTGTCTTGGCTTGGTTATGTGCTTCAATTTTCTTCCCAAATTCTTCTTTACCAAGCAGTGTGTTTCTCTTCTTATTTTTCTTATATTTGCCATTGTGGTCCTCTACTTCAAATTTTATTTGTTTTCGTTTTCCGCTCACATGAACTATATGTTTGCTATATTGAGTGGCTATGCCAAGTTTATGTCATGCTGTATAATGTGGATGTTGACACTGATTTGGTTTTTATCTTGTCAGGTTCAATTTTTGCGGGACCTAGGTGTTCGAGATCATGCCATTGGTAACATGCTTGTCAAGTTTCCTCCCTTACTAACATACAGCCTCCACAAGAAAATTCGGCCAGTGGTTTGTTCCTTTTCTTTTGATGTTACCTTCATCTTTTAGTTACTCTTGAATAGGTTTTCATCTGTTACCTTTTGATCTTTCTCCTTGCACAATTGCTTGAAGTAGTTCAATTTAATTTTATTTTAAAAAAAAGTAATTTTTTCAGTTGGATCAAGTGATTCGAGGAGGCATTATCATTGCATATATGTTTCGGGCTATATGGTTCTGCTTTTAGCATTTATCAGTATTGTTGTTTAAGTTGGTATTACCTATGAGGTATTTAAGATTTTAAGCACAGGTAATGTAATCTTATTGGAATATCATACAGGTCATATTTTTGATGACGAAAGCTGGAGTCACTGAGAAGGATATTGGAAAGGTCATAGCTTTGGGACCAGAGCTCTTGGGTTGCAGTATAGGAAATAAGCTTGAGGTTAATATGAAATATTTTCTGTCACTAGGCATACGGCATAGACAGCTGGGTGAGATGATTGCTGATTTCCCTAAACTTCTTCGATACAAAGTAGACCTCCTCTATCCTAAGTATCGTTATTTACGACGAACTATGGTCCGTCCTTTGCAGGATGTGATTGAGTTTCCCAGGTAAGGAACATTGCAGCAAGCTGTGTGGATCTTATTGTCTCAGTCTTCTTATGTTCATTTATCAATTTGACTGCTTCATTAAAATTAGTTATGATCAAGACAAGACTATTTATTATTTAGGTTCATTGAGAGCAAGGTCCTGGGAGATGAGCTGAAACGTTTTTTAATCCTATTGCACTCAAAATGTGCATTTATCAGTCAGGTTCCCAAGTCATTTGTTGAATGTATTATTCTTAACCAGGAAATCTTTGCATGCATTTTTTATCAGTATTAGCATTAGACATTTCTCTTTCTTCATTTGTAATATGAGTCTTATCTCTCTCTCTCAGCTGTTGTATTAGAGACTTAACGTAATGAAAATTCTGCAGGTTTTTTAGCTATTCTCTAGAAGAGCGAATAATTCCAAGGCACAAAATTATGGTAGAGAATCGGGTTAACTTTAAACTGCGCTACATGTTGGCTTGTACTGATGAAGAGTTCAATGGAAGAGTTGCAGATAAAGTTGAGAGGAGGCGAAGGTTTGAATCTGATCTTGTAGATAATGCTTTGGCTGATTCACAAACAGCTGAAGGTTCCTTGGGGAAGGCTGCAGTCATCAATTGTCCAGCAAGTGAAAATGCAGTTTTGAATTTTCCTGTGAGTGATTACTCAATGGAGAGGACAGTCCAGAAGTGAGGATTCTCCAGGGTTGTCGCTGTGAACTTGAATGACTGAAGTTCTGCACCACTTTGACATTTTAAAAGCCCCAGTAGCCTCATTACTTTTTGGATGTAAATATTAATGAATTTTCTTTTCTTTTTTTTATTTTAAACCCAGGAACAAACGGTTGCTGTATGTTAGCCTGATTGTATATTAAATGTATCTATTGACAACATGAAGGTAATGACAGGAGAAATGTTACCTGCAATACCTCGAAGCCTTGCATGATATCAACTAGAGCACTAAATTTGCCTAGCAAAGAGTCTCATACATTCTGTCTCACCTTTTCGTTATGGTACGTTGGGTGTCTCCTTGGACTGGAAGACATCCCCAACACACAAAGATCACATTTTCCTCCCCTTTTTTTTTCCTTTGAAATTGTAAATCTAGTTTGACCATACATTTCTTCATCGATATTATAATATAAATATGTGAAAGAATGCCTTTGGAGGGAGCTGTTAACGAACTTAACCGCCCTAAGGCTTAGCACAGATAACCCAACAAGGCAGGATAACAAACTGGGATTGCATTGGGTGTTGGAAGTCGAAGCATGTTGAATTAACATGTCTTAATAAAGTGAAATAAATAACAGTGACAGGTAATGTATCAAATAAATACAAATGTTCCGAGCTGTGATCACAGCCACTATTACACATAAAACTTGAAAGAAAGGAAGTAAAAAATGCCTGATATAGCAATTGCTCATTGTATATGCTATAAAAGTACATGTGCAAACTGTATTGGTGTATCCTTGGTTCGATTAGAAGAAGAAAGAATGGTATGACTAGAATATTCCATAGTCTAATTAATTCCAAGGCGACAGATTGGATTCCTTTTGATGAGACTAAGATCCACCTGCAAAACAACCATGCATAAGTAAATCCATCTGAAAACAACCACTACACAGTGAGGAAGACAATATGTCGGTGTATATGATAGCACCTTGTGTCCAAACAGATCCCTAATGTTATCGACTCCATAGAGTATCATAGTTGGCCTAAGTCAGACAAACAAAAAAAAATATATCAAGACATTGTTCAAATTTGCTGCAAACAAGCTTGAAGTAGGCATGTCAAGAAGCTGACATTAAAACAATTTTTCATTCATAACTTTCTTCAGCAAAAAATAATAACACCAGGTTATAACTTCTTACCTTTCAAGGGAAAGGCCCCAAGCAATAACACGAACATCCTCAGGGAATCCCATTGGAAGCAACATTTCAGGTCTGAACATGCCAGAATTCCCAATTTCCACCCATTTCTTCAAGCCTTCGTGATAACTGATAAAAACCAGAATGATCTGTCAAATCTATATTTACCTAACAAGTATCACAAACCCATTAAGAGCAATATGTGACTTGTCACCTGAATATCTCCATGCTAGGTTCGGTGTATGGGTTGTAAGCAGGCTTGAAACGCAACTTGGACATTCCTTAAAGAGATCATAGCAAAAACATTAACATCAATTACATTTCTATATCATTTTCACCATCACCACAAACTCCTAAGCCAGTTCTCATAAGCATCAATCTCATGATGATCAGCAGCATATCAGAAGACAGATCACCGACAGTTACATGACAAGCTTTATCCAGAAAAACACTACAGGCTTCAATACATTGAACCATAAAAAATTGAACACTTAGTCCAATATATTCACAGTGCTGCTATGGAACTATATTTCCTGCAGAATGATGCTCAATGATGATTACCTAGTCTTGAGAAGAAGTCATTCAGGACACCAATCAAGTCGCCAAGAGTAAGTCCCCGGTCACATACCAAACCTAAAAATAAGGACATAATGTCCAGATGGTCAGTAAATCATTAAATGTGTTACAAAAAAAAAAAGTCAGATATTTGCGAAACAAAGTAGCGCACAGAGGTTGGTCTACAAATTGGATCCAGTTAACATAACCTGAACTCAGACTTGAGTAAAAATGACAAAAGTAGAGCAGATGCATGCAGCTCATAAATACCTTCAATCTGATGGAACTCTGCAAGATGAGTTCGATCCACAGATTCATTTCTGAACACACGGTCTATAGAGAAATATCTTTTGGGGGCAAAAGGTTGCTGAAGATGAAATCAAAAAGCTAATCAATATTAACATTCACAGATACTAATTAATATGGATGCAACAAACATCAACAAGAAGTAACAGTAAAGACAACATGAAATATTGAATACCCTCTTTTTTCCCAGATGGAAAGTCAAATTTAACATATAACAGAGATCCTGATCATTGATGGATTATACACACAATCAACAAGATGGTGCAGTGTAGGTAATTATAATAGCAGTACGATGCTCCTTGAAAAGTATGAATGCATTAGGATTAAAGCACTGTATACTAGTTTATAGGAAATGCTTAAGAAAATAAGGATTTTTGAATTTAGGGAAAAGAAGTCAATTAAAAGATGTTGAATCAAACCAGAGGGCTAGACAAAGAGTACTAAGACAATCAAACCTTTGCTAGAGCATAAAGCATTCTAGTGGAGACAGCAGTTGTATGAGTACGCAGCAGGTTTTTGTTTGCTTCCTCTCTTTTCCAGTCATACATATATCTTGGGAAAAATAAATAAATAAAAAGTTTAATCAATTTCTTGGTTGTGAAATACAGAAGTAAGACTCCAAGAGAAAGAAAAACGTCATACCCCCTGGAGCCATAACCACCAGACTCATGGACACGCTTCACCAACTGAACATAATCTTCAGGCAGTTCCCTTGTAGTAGATGGAGCTGCAGATGTATGCTCCAAATAAGTATCCAAACGAGAGTAGAAAAAGCGTATATGCTAGTCAACCACACAATTGAAACACACCTTCCATAAAGAATGTATCGTGCGAATCACGAGCAGGATGTTGTTGCGGCTGGAACAATGCATCAAAGTTCCAGAAGCTGCAAGTGGAAACAGATACAGTACAACAATATAAGAGACAAATTTATTCTTGTCATACATGAAGGAAAAGAATTAATGAGAATGTAAATGTAGGATTTTAAGTTCCTTCTGGCCATATTTTTGTTAAAACATTATCTTCTTCAGACTTTTTGAAGACACCTTCGTATTAAGAAAACTGAAGGCATGTGTATTTTTTTTTTCTCAGGTTCTTTGCTTAACAAATATATGTTGCTTATTCGAAGAAGCTCCACTTGTAATCAACCATTACAGAAACAACATAAGCAAAAGAAAGAAGAGCCGGCTATGTCAACTACCTGCTTTCAACGAAATTGTTTGTTGGCATCTCCTCAAAACTGCAGCAACAAATGAAAATCTATGTGAATATCAAAGTTGAAAATAAAATATTGCCAAAATATTCATCTGAAATTCCCAGGGAGAAAATGACTAAATGAACATAATATTAGAGAAAAGAGTATTGCAATAGCATGGCATCATTTCTGGTGAGGCCGTGTAACATGTTCTCATTCTTTGTAAAAAATAATAAAATCTAGGCAAGGTGATGAGTGTTGCATGTGCACTATGAGTTGATTTCTATGGTCCTCTTACAGCAGCACCAAGCATGATAAAGGTTGAAAACAAGCATAAAAAATCTGAATGTACATAGAAGATTTATATCAAAGCTCAAAACTCACCCCATCTGAAGAAATATGTTCTTTAATTGTTGTTTCACCTGAAAATAGAATGCTTAACAGCGTTAATTCCATGTATACGATGGGATGCTTAAGCCAACAAAAATTAAGGCATCAATTAACCAAAAGGGATTGGTTATGCAACATCCTAAGTGAACCATTGCATCATATTGTGCATAATAGATAGTTTTCACACATTCACATATAGAAGCCACAAAAATTATAATAGAAAAAAAGTCTTTCATAGGCCTAGATAAAGGCCCAATTTATATTTCCTCAAGAAAAGTTGAATGCCACAGCTTTTGTTCTGTTCATTTTATTGACAATCAAAAAATATCAATCTTTAACTGTAATTTATATGCAAATGATATAAAACCCACAATGTCAAAAACTTTATGCTTATTCAAAAGGCTGGTATCCATCATATGTATTTTCAATGGTAAAATTAAATAAGTTGATGAACAAATAGTCCTATCCTTGCCTTGAGCAATGGGTGAAGATGGCCAGCTTCAGCAGGTGGTCCTTTTGCGTTGAAGTTATATTCTTTGAACTCTAATTCCTTCCAGTCACCCCTAAATAACAGAAATCATAAATAAATATCAGTCCAATAAAATCCCTTTAGAGCGAAGCATGTCTCGCTAATAAGACAAAAAGAAGGCATTTCAACATCATTACTGAAATTCTAACTTCACATGCATACTCATCATGTCTATAGCATACCTCTGTAGATTCTCTCGAGTCAAATCAGTAGCAACTTTCTTTCTTCTAGGGGCATAGTTTGGCCCTTTTCTCACTGAGTAACCTTTCCATGTCCTAAAACAAGATATAATTGGGAAAATATCAGCAATGTGAATAAAAATACACATCCACTGTAAGCATAATAATAAAAGCCCAGGCAAGGGACTCGATGATTACTGTGCAACAATAAGCTTTCTTGCTTTAAGTGAATTAATATCATCTTTGCCAATTACCTGCAGTAAAAGATTCAACTTTAAGCAGTAAAGGAGGAAACAAAATTAAAACCATTTACATCAATTTCAATAAGGGAACTTTTGACAGAAAGATCTAACTCAAAACAAAAGACAGGCAACTCATTATAATGGAGAAATATACCTGACCATCTTGTATTCGTATTAGCAAATCCTTGACCTTGTCTTCCACATGTTGGACCTACAAACCAAAGCAAATATTGGAGGGATAAATAACATAATTACATAAAACATGAGCATTCAAAATAGAATTATCCAATGTTTTCACAACATTAACCATAAAAATGATTACCTTTCTGGAAACTTGCTTGCCCATGTCCACCCATTTGTTTTTCCCAGCTTGTGAACAACCAATTTTGAAAACTGAAGGGTCTAGCTTTTTCTGCAGCAACGCACAGTGCCAAAAATTACATGTTAGCAACGAGCTTAGAAATATATTTAAAGAAATGTCTTTTAAACACAGATCCCAATAAAATTTTGGCATAAAAAAGAAGGATATCGTATGGAGCAGAAGAAGACCCAGAATCGAAAATGAATTAAAATGCGAGGGAAAGAAAAGAAAAGAAAGAGAAAAGGAGAAGAAGCATGCCTGCAGTTCATCTTTAGAAATGGAGCCCTCGGGAGGGATAGCTAAGAAGAGTTGAACTTCGGGGGATCCTTCGGCAGCGTATTTTTTACCCTCGTCCGTGAGCACCCAACTCTCCCTTTTAATATCCTGGGCATCGATGTAACGGAAACCATGAAGGCTCTTGATAACATTGACGACGTCGTTGTGCTGGAGACCATGTTGGGATGCGAACTGTCCTGAATCAGGGATCTCCTCGTGGGTCGCCAAGTAACCTAGTATCGCATCCTCCGCCATTGCCGCTGTGTCTCAACTTTCCTCACTGATTTTGGACTTCCTGTTCTAACCTAAAGCCTCCACTCTGAGTTGGCTTGGATTACGTCAACAACAACCTTCCTTAGATTTTAGGTCAAAAATACAAGAGGTCCAATAATAGTGGCTGGGCGGCTTTACTTTGGGCTATTGGGTTTTTACTGGGAGTATGGAACTCTTCCGCGATGACAAGCCTAATATGAAAATTCTGAAATGGTAAATTCTATTATATTCCCTGATCTGATGATGACGGTATAAATCAATGAAATTATCCCAACTCTACATGCAGAGCAGAAGTTACCTCATGCATTCAGTTACTAATACAGGCTTGTAAATGTTCAAATTTCTTAATTAGGGAAATATCTAATTGATGACGTTAGTACTTAAGATTTTATTTCCGGCACAGCAAAATACTAGTTTGCACTAACAAGAAGATAATGAGAGAAAAGATCTATCCAAATCAACATGTGATCATTATTTCCATTACTCTGCTCAAACCATGAAACTGTCAACGTAGAGAGGATTGACAAATCCGACTTGTTCAATGGATCATTTCATAATTTCAGAGAAGATCATGCCCATCTCTAAAGAACCAGGGTGCATTGATTTGAGAATGTGACACCCAGGAGGTGCTTATTCTGACCAAGAAATCATATGATGAAGGTCAATTCCAAAGCAGACTTCAAAAATTGATTCATTCCATCAGTCTCTTCAAACGAAAAACAAAAAGAACAAAAAATCTTGCTATTTCTCCTCGGGTAAAGTTTTACAAATTGAAAATTTGTTCCCTGAACATAGGATTCTTTCATCCACCATTGCCATCAAAAGTAGCAACAACAACATAATTCACCAGGATACATTAACAAAGTCAAAATGCCCAAAATACATAGTACATGCAAGACCATGCATCAATCATCTTATTTTTTCAGAAACTAAAAAAGCAACAGTTGCTGTTCAGAGCAAGGAGGAAAGATGGCAGGGGCAGCATCAGCGATAAAGGCTTTCAGATCTGAGATTCTCTGCAATCTCAGTTTCCCATCGGTCACCATTCTCAAGCAGCTTCTCTTTGTCATACAGCAGCTCCTGCAATAACGTTGACAGTAACTAATTCACTTCAACTTACAGGCAGCAACAGCTGTTTATGATTTAATTAAAAGGAAGACGAACCTCATGAGTCTCAGTGGCAAATTCAAAGTTTGGTCCTTCAACAATAGCATCAACAGGACATGCCTCTTGGCAAAGTCCACAGTAGATGCACTTAGTCATGTCGATATCATACCTGCATAGTTGAACTGACTGTAAGAAAATGAAGACAAAAATAACAGAAGAAGATGAAGAAAGAGAGAATCAACCTCGTTGTCCGACGACTTCCATCCTCTCGTTCCTCAGCCTCTATTGTGATTGCCTGTGCTGGGCATATCTAATAAGCCACCACACTTTATGAGAACTTATAATAATAAATTCATATTTAACAAAGATGAGAGGAACTTAAACAGGATCTAATATATGAACAGAATGTTAAAATTCATCAACAAACCGAGCACAGTTTGCCTGGGCCCAACTTTTCACAAATTGCTTACTCTACGAGACAAGCAATGACAGACGCTAATCTTCCTTTATATAACCCAGAGGGCATAATAGCAGCATTATACACCACAAATACAGTAAACCAATGTGCACTATCCATCAATGCTTATGACAAAAAGAATCAAATGAAGTAACCGTTATATCCATTTTGGGGTCTGTATGTCAACATAAAACAACAAAATACAGACTCAGATCTAATGAACTTAGCCATTGCCATTTCCAGCCAGGTATCCATACCAGGCAGCACAGGTTAGTTTCCACCCAGGTTAATACTTGCCATCCCATACCGAATCACAACATGGTGGAATCATTCAAACCCTCAACCCATATTAAAAAAAAAAGATAATGAGGTCATTACAATGAAGCTTGAGCTTACAGCTTCACAAAGTTTACAGGCAATGCAACGTTCCTCTCCAGTTGGATATCGGCGGAGAGCATGCTCCCCTCGAAAACGAGGGCTCAATGGACCCTTCTCAAATGGATAGTTAATCTGCATGAGGAAAGACAGGTTTGCATCATACATCTGCCCCAATCTAAGCCCAAAGAAAAAAAGGATTGGGAAGACACTTACAGTAACTTTTCTGTCAAAGAAGTACTTGAGTGTCAGCATGAGACCCCGAACCATTTCGGTTAGAAACAATGTGTTTACGCTTCGCTCAAAAACTGCAGTTGAGCCCAATATAAGAAACCATTCATTGCCTAAAATAAATTAAATGACATGTAACGCAAACAGAAACATTTCAGTGCACTACATTACCAGCACTCCAGTCTTTTGAAATCTCCTTTGCAAGCTGCTCTCTTTCTTCATCATCTACAGTTTACACAAACGAAAACATCCATGAATAAGAGATTATTAATATCAACAACAAAAAGTCCCACAATACAAGGGGCTAGGTTTTTATGCATTTAAAAGCTGTGACAGGCATTTTCTAGAGAGGATTTCTAGTAGACTAAGGAATCCAGATAGACAAAGTATTGCATTTATCCCCATTCCACGCTCTTTCAAAACTCAAACTATGTTTTCCACTTATGCACACATTGAGATTTATGATAAAAGTGAGAAGATAGAGAAATAAAGGTCAACCTTTCTTGGTGCTGTATGAGTGTGCAGTGAGTCGCAGCCCATACTGCTGTGAACCCTGCAAAACTTGCCCCGACACAGCCTTTACAAACATAAGCAAAAAAAGCAAATCAGCCACAAAACTATACACAAACACTAACAAAAGAAATTGAACTAAAACTCCATTTTGACCAAAAATATTAGGCAAATGTTTACCTTAAATCTACCTATGAGGATTTTCCCTTTTCTATAAATCATTTCCAAATTGCATTATCACATGCCAGTAATTAACATTTGAATTTCGACTGTCTATCAACAGATTCTAACGAAAAATTAATTTCTAATTACATGAAATTTAATCAAACTAGGGCACAACTGAAAAGGGAAATGTTAACCAAGAAAAAAAAGTACTAGGTTTGGAAGGAAGATGGGAAAGTGAGTTCTTACGAGGTGTCGAGCCCGGAGAGAGTTGAGAGAGTTGCGAGCGAAGATCGCAGCCATTGATTTTGTTTGTGGGTTGGTGTTGGTAATCTGACGGATGAAGACGATTAGGTCTTCGCCGATCGGAGCTGTAAAACCAAGGTACTGGAGAGACCTCCTGACTAATTGGGGGTTTTCACTTTTCAGATCATTTTTTTGTCGATGACGCTTTCGATTCAGTTCGCTTAGAAGCAACGGAGCGTTTTAGATAATGCAAGGCTATTAGGCTACCAGGGGCATGGGGACTCCTGAATATGGGCTTCAGCCCAAATTGCACAACCTTCTTCTTAAATCATTGATAGGGCCAATCCAAGATGGGAGTTGGGCTTTAGCCTATCTCCCAAGCAGAACATTCAAAATCGACGGTGTCGTTTTAGTTTAGTTCGAAACGACACCGGTTTCTGTAGCCAAGCTCTAAAATCTCTAATCCAAATTGTAGGGTTTAAGGAAGGTAGGAGCCGGCCTCCTTTTTCCTCAGCCTCGGGCTTCATCTTCTAACAATTTCCAAACCAGGGAAGAAATGGCGTCGTTTTGCAGATCAGCAGTAATGGCGGGTTCTAGGTCCCTCGCTTCTCGACCCAAAACCCTAACTTTAAAGAGCCTAACTCCAAAACCCATGTCTTCTCCTTTCTCTTCTCCGTCAACAAGATCCCTCCCTTGCGCTTCAAGGTACTTTCCTTTTGCTTTTTTCGTATAAATTCGGTGTCAATTCTTAACTTTTTGTTTTCTTGTTTTAAAAGGATCTTATCGGTGTTGGGAGGAGTAGAGTCGATGATGCCACTTCACAGTGCCATTGCATCTGCCCGGCTACAATCAAGCATCGCCATCGATTCCTCCTGTTGGAGCTGGCTCTCTCAAGGTATTTTTTTGGCTTTTCTATTTTCATTTGTTTTTCAATTGTCTAATTTCAGAAATTGCAGCTCCATGTTGTCCACTTGATTGGATGAAGAATGTGGAAAAGGGAAGATAGTGCTTGGCGAATTACTTGCTGTTTTCTTAAGTATGAGTTGTCATTATCCTTTAAAATGATTTGTCTTGCTCTAAGTTATAATTTGTGAGGAATCATGCATAAAAAGTCACTAATTTGTAATACTATTTACCTTCTGAGCCTATGGTTGTAGTTGCCTCTTGTTTTATAGCATATAAAAACAATACGTGATCTAACTTGCTTGTCTACTTCATGAAATAGGACTTGCAACACCATTGTGACAAGGCTGGATCCTTTGTGGGACAATAAAAGCATAGGATCTTTTTATAGAAATCTATGTCAAAGCAAAGCAAAATTTTCAAGATTTTGTCTTTGTATTATGAAACTCTGCAGTGCCTGCAGATTTGTTATCCGTTTTTTCACTTATTTACAAGAGTTGAACTTAGCTGTGTATGTTTTGTGGACAAGCGAAGCTCATTTAGCTGTGAAATCCATATCTTGTAGCCAATGATCAGAAACCTTTTTTTTTTTTTCTTGTTCTTTTGGCTCATGCTGAGGTTTTCCCTTTCAATTTATTTAAAGCTTCTTTTTGACAGATTGGATGATAGGGTTGCTTACTGTCACTTGTTAATTCAAACCTTTTCAACATAATGGGATTTTTTTTTGTTCCTGTGTGATGGGTCTGATTTAGGCATTCTATTATCTCTATGCTTCTAAAGGATCAGTTTCCTGATCAAAATCCTTATATTTAAGTGATTCTCATCAGTCTTGAAATCATTTACCAAGTGAAGTTCTTAGACCTGGCTTGTTTCCAATCTAGAATGTTTGTGATACATCCTTCCTGTCAACTTCACTTCCTTATAAGCCACATTCTTTCATAGCATGCTTTTCTCATTCAACTTGTCTTATACTTTTGTTTTAATCAGCAAAGCTTTCATAAGTAATTTTGCCTAACATTTCCATCTACTGATTATTCTCCATATTTCCTCATTGTCATTTCCTAGACTTTGCAGTTCCTCGGTGACCGAGTAAGGGCTTCAGTCATTCCAAACCTAATTGGCTTGCATTTGAGCAGTTCGTTTCACACCCATCCCTTTTCCTTTTCTTTTACATCTATTTTTACATTTCACATCTCGCGGCTAGATGGATTTCTACCTGTGGCAGAAAATAGTGTTTTTTCCCTCTTTGACGAGGCGTTGTCTATTTTCAACACAGACTTGTTAACGTGCATGTATATCCTATTCTGAAGATGGTAGTTGATACTTAAAGGGGAAAAAAAAGAACAACAAAAAAGAGGTGGGAAAAAAATTGAACCCTGCATTCAGAAAGTTCTGTTGCACTTAAATTTGTGCAATTTGAGAAACATTGGTGTTTCTAGTGTTGTTTGGAAGTTGGAAACTTCCTAAATTATTAATTTACTTGATACTCTTTCTTCTTGTTTCAAGCCTGCACATCACTTCTGAAATTATTCTTTGGTTATGGGAAATTTGAGGCTTCATGCAGAACTTTTTAAACTACTTCATTGCGTTGCGTGTGCCTTTTTTCCATCTTTTTTGTTTGCTTAGTTCTCTGGAGTTGTCATCCTATTTGACTTGTGTTTATACCCGAATTTTCTGTGAAAGAAAAACCAACCTGGCTGTTGGCTTTGTGTTAGCGTGTTAGTCGTTATGCCTACTTTCCTCTTTTAAGTCTATGTTGGTGAAGTTATTGACTTCCAATGATCATATTAGAAGCACGAGTGTTCATTGCTTTATGCTAGGAAATGCTTTTAGATCAAATTTCACTCTAAAATTGAATGTTGGGAAATCCCAACGACCACCATTAGAAGAGCTTGAGAATCTACAGGGCAAACTGATGAACAGCCTGAGAATCAACAGGCCTAACTGCTGCTGCCCATCTTCATCTGAAGTCGCTTGCTTTCTTTTTAAGGAAACAAGGACAAAAATGTAAAACACCATCTGCTTGCTTGGGATGAATGATGATCACACTTAACGTTGGTACACGCAGCACCAACAAGTTAAAATATTATTGAAGGATTACCGGCAAATCTTTGAATTTTCTATTTGATGACAGGACTTTATGGTTGGACTTTGGCAAAACCCTGCTTAATAATTCACTCGATCAGCCAAATGTTTAACATTTATCTCCTTAGCGAAATACAGGTTTCTGGTTTCCATTCAACCTGGCTGGGACGTGATGATCTATGACTTGAGGAAATGATTGGTGTGGGACTGGGGTTAGGGGATTCCAAAGTTTGCCCACAAACCTAAACTAACTGGATAGGTTATTAGTGTTGTATCCAAAAGGAAAAGGACTCGCCATCTAATACCTAAACCCATTTAAGAGGGACAGAGAAATATTTAACCTACCGCTTCGAGGTCTAATGCTTCTGTTTCAAGTGGCCATGCTTTAAAACTGGTTTGTCATCCTTGATATCGGTGGTGGGATAAGCAAATTCTGTTCTGGTAACTCTGGTTAAAGATCGTACCATGCAACGTGCTTTCACAGGCCAGGCCTCCAAATATTATTGCTGCCTGCGTTCGCAGTTTAATATCAACAAATTAAGACAAAAGGACATGACATATGAGGGAGGCAGTGTGGTATGTAGAGAAATGCAGCCCCGCCTTCGTCGTGTTTTGAGAAAGGAATGCGGCTCTAGTGGGGTCTCCTGTTTGTCCATGTGCTTTTCACGTGGTAATGTTAGGAATCAAGATTAATATATCCTCCCCATACTAGAAAATTATGTTAAATTCCTAGGCCCTGCTCTTTTCTTGTCTTTGATCCTCCCCAAAGCCCCAGATCTTTTTTTATCTTCTTGGAAAAAAAAAACAATACGAGGCGTAAAACTCTTGGATGGTTTCATTTTGTGTCTAAAGAACAAATGAATAGGCTTAAAATGAATCTATATTCATTGAACTTGTACATCTCAAGCGACATACACGAGAAAATTGTTAGTATGCTGTTAGTTTCTACTTTCTACAGTTGGAACTCGGAAAATTTGCCTTGAGAAAAGGAAAGAGAGAAAATGGTTGTTGGTAAACATGTTCTGGTAACGGCAAAAATCCAGGTACAATACCCTAAAATCATCTTTCTTTTTGGTCAGAAAGGAAATAATTTCATAGCTAAACAACAGTGCTTACAACAGAGGAGTGTCTCCACCATTAACAAAGATAAAGGAGGAAAGTTATCTTTAGTGTTGAACTACAAAACACGTAATAGATAAAGAAGAAAAGTTAAGAAAATGAAAAAACAGTGCAATCTCACTGACACTTGTCCCCCTAATCCAGCACATGAAGATTAAAAATTTCAAAGGAAACATAATAGCAAAAATGGACACGAAAAGGAAAATATCTCCATCCAATAGCAGCAAAATGGTTAACAAAGCTATGAACAGAAAAAGCAACATTATTAACAAAGAAGTCGTAGACTAGACCCGTTAATACCTCCCCATAGGAAAGCATCTGTCCACGGGGAGAAAAGATTAGATTAGTATCTTGTAGTTTCATCAAACTTTTTAAGAAAAGCCTTAGACATCCCTTTCTACACATTGCCTAGTGAACCTTCATCTCTCTCTTTCTTGGATAAGATCTGTAGAATGTCTGGTACACTTTGACCCACTTGATAATTGATTCCTTAATAGTCTTTTATCCAAAACTTATAACCCATCGTGCACAGGGAAAGGAGAGAAAAGGAAGAAAAGAACAACCCAATTCTCTTTGAAGAATTTGAGCACTTGGGTTGTTCTTTGTTCATAGTTTTCATCGATTGTAATTTGATTCATTTTGTTCAGAAAATCTAAAGACTTGGGTTGGTCTTTGTTTTATATTTTACTACAGAATTACAGAATGTCATTTCTGCCTGGTTTGGATTGGTCTCTTTAGAAAATCAAAAGCTGTGCTTTGTTTTATTGGAGGGGAAGGGAATTGGGAAACACCACTCAAAGCAGACCCCAAATTCGATCGCTTCCCGATAGCGTAAGCCACGAAGAAGGTTGAGGATGTGAGATATTCGAGGTGAGTTTTTGTGTGCGTAAACTTTTTGATCGGAAAGGCTGTGGCTTTGTCTGTTTTGATGTTTTCCTGGAGATCATGCTTGATACACATGCATGATGCATGCATTCATTTTGTATGCAATCAAGAGAGAGGGATAGACAGAGGGGTCTCTTTTTGTCTGTTTACGTGACGTGATTGAAAAATTGCCTATTGCTGGTAAGTTTGTTGGAATCTGTGGGGATTGATATTGTTGTTTTTGTTTTTTTCTCTGTTATGATCAATTTCTTTTCTATTTTTTGACTATTTATTTGTTTTAATTAATTTTCATTGAAGTCTAATTCAAACAGATGAAAGGACAAATATAGATTCCATTTTTTTTAAGTGCTTGGCTGATTTCACTGCTACCACCCTGATGTATATTACCTTAGTCACTGGTTACATTTGATTCCAGATTTCATTTTATTCTGTGTTAAATTTTGGGATTTGGAATTTTAAGGTTGTATTTGGTGTGTTTTCGTTTTTTGCTTTTACCATCAATATATGTTGGGCTTCAACACCTTGGAATTTTGGATTGTTCTCCTGTATTTACCCATCTTCTTATCCCTTCTCTATCTTTTTGTTTCTGCTTTTGGTTTGGTAGTTCTTGCCCTGTTATTGGCTGTGACACTACTTAAATTGCTGTTTGTTTCTCAGTTCAATTGGTGTAGAAAATAAGCAGAATTTCCTCTGTAGGTTACCTTCTGTTTGATTACTTTATCTTGAGGGGTTTCGTTTCTTAGTTCAGCTTCAGTTGCCTTGTTTAGTTTTAATATTTTTCCTTATTTCATCTTTCAAATTCTTAATTTCTGGTTTGTAGTGTTGAGTGGTTCTCAGTGGAAATTTAACCTCCATCCCTCTCTGTTGTATTTGCTTTCTGCTGTTTCTGCGTTTTTGAGTGTCTGGAAATTGCATGAATTCCTTTGGTTTCACCTTCTTCATGTTCCTGCAGATTTTTATGCCAGGATGATTCTCACTTGTATGGACTATAGCAAGTCATCAACTCAATCAAGGTGGAAAGGTTTCACCGAGGAGGAGGACTAAATGCTCTAGAGTTATGGAGAGAGTTTATGAAACATCTATTGGAAATGGGCCTACTAGTAATGGCCATATGGTTATGAGGCACTCCCCTTACCGGCCATTTTCGAAGAGATCGTTATCTTGGCTTGATTTAAGAGTTTTCTATGTCAGAGTAAGCAAGTGTGAGACTGATGATTCAACTCCCGAGCACCTCACTTTAAACCATGTCCCATTGAATCCCGATACACTTCTTGAAGTAAATGGTGTTAGAACTGGCATCTATTCTGATGGCGCATCCACCCTTCTTAGAAGGGATCGGCTAGATAAAAAATCTGAAGAAGCCACTTTTGTGAGCACAGATAGCATAAGGCTGACAGGAAGTGTGAAGTTTGAGGTTTTTCATAAGGATACTCTTCTGCTATCTGGGGTTTTAGAGTTGTGTGACAGTAACGGTTACACTGAAGAGTCAAGAGGAAGTGGCCAGCAATGGAGCATGAATTGTGATTCAGTCATAACTGTAGGCACTGGCTTTCTGAAGGCCAAACAATTTGTTAGCCCAGATTCAGCTTCGCCCACAGTTGAGGTTTATGTTGCAGGGTCCTTCTTGGGCAGTCCAATCATATTGACTAGAACTCTGCAGCTTAGTTTACGAAAGAAGCAAATGAAGAAGGGGATGCTGGACTCAATACCAGAGTATGAGGCAACTGAAGGCCAGAAAGAAGTTACTCTTGTGCAGGTATTTGTTAATTAGAATTTCAAGCTCTCTAAAAGAAATAAAAAATCTTTTTCCCTTCTCTATTCAAGTGGTATATAACCTTGTCCATTGATCAAATACTACAGGTATTTTTTCTTTTTCTGCCTTTCAAAAAAAAAAAAATGTTGTCCTTAAAACAGAGCAGAATGATATGATAGGTACATACTTTTAGCTCAAAAAGTAATACTCAGTTAATGCTATCTAGGACATTGTTTATATCACCTATTACAATAAGGCAGACGCGTATACACATTTATCTCATTTCCTATGTTATAATACTAATACGTGTTTTCATTTACATTGGTAATCCATTGTGCAAGTCATATGTATACCTGAACATTTTGCTTTAATAGATAGGCATACTTTGCCTGATGCTGGCCTTTGAAAGAGTAGAGAATGACTTGAATATATCTTGAGCTCTATCTCTTTTAAAAATTATCATGCAGTTTACAGTTTATTTATGGCTTGGGTATAAATACTTTGCCTGACGCCTGGTCCTGGTCTATTTTCTTGTTTCTTCTGGTATCCTTCTGAACTGCAAACGTCCCTGAGTAGTAATTAATTGGCCTAAAGGCCTGTTAATTTGTTAGAAACCCAGTATTATAACTTAGACAGTCTTAGAAAGTTCACTTTCTTGAGATTTTTTGCATTTAGACACCCATTTGTTGCCTGGATGCTAGTGCAATGGTCAGTAATCCAACTACGCAAATACAAGTCTCTATTGGAATGGCTTTTTCCTCCCTCTCGGCTTTTTCCCTCAGTAGGATGCTTTGCAATCCTTTTTTTCTGAAACAAGTGGAACTGCTTACAGCATGAAATCTCTAACTTAACGAAAGTAGTAATGGTTCTTATAAGCTTCTGGGCCTTAGATCAGATGGTGAAGGGTTTTTTAGCTATTGACTTTGCCAATCATTGATGTATTCATATATCTGGTTAATTATTGTGATATTATCTATGGTATTTATTTTAGATAACTACCATAGATAAGCTATGTATGTTTGAATTACGATTCTGCTTTTCACTTCTTTCTCACCTTTGCAGATGCCAGATTACTTGAATTACAAACCAGAAAGTGAGGAGTACAACCATCTGTACTACTCAGGGACAGACTATTTTGATGGTGAAGATGGGGAGCTCACTTGGTTCAATGCTGGTGTCAGGGTGGGGGTCGGGATTGGCCTCAGCATCTGTGTTGGACTTGGGATCGGAGTAGGTTTGCTGGTTCGTACCTACCAAGGCACAACCCGTAACTTCAGAAGGCGACTACTCTAATCGACACTTTTGCTTGCTCATGATTTTGCTAAAATAAGTCCTCCCTATCTCTCATGGGCTAACTTAGTGGTGTTTCTAACATATTTTCTGTGAGCTCATACTTTGTGATTAACAGAGATAAGGCATAAATTTCAGCTTTTCTTACCTTTTTATCTGAAATAAGTATATGTTTTCGTTCTATACTATTTACTACCTCAAATAGGAAGCCTACATTTGATGTCATGGGGATGAGAATTCAGCCATTGTTTAGCCTCCTTCATGTAGCTAGCTCGTCGGCTGTCTGCCTTTTGTTTTAGTGAAGCTTTGTCTCTCTATCTCTATCTATCTTTTTGGTTTCATGGAAGGATGTTAACAGCAGCATTAAAGTTTTGGGGAAGAAAGGATCCCGTTGCCCAGATTATGACTCAAAAGGAGGAGCAGGAGGGGGTGGCTACCAAGTTTGGCAGACATCTTCATCTTAAGGTTACTAGTTGTCCTTGAAGTTACTACTCTTTATAATGTTAATAGAGGGTTCCAAGTTTTGTCAACGGGCCAACTTCATTTCCATGCCGGCTCAATAGTATGTTAGAATTTGTCATTTTAGCATTTTTGCAAGAAGGAATTGCTTCCAAAATAATAAAAAAATTTGAAAACATTAATTGATTCAATTTAACCTTTTGATAAAAAGCAAATTAGTATCTAAATGAGTTTTTGTGCAATTAGAGAAAATCTACTTAAATTATATATTTTGGACATAATATTTAAAAAAGTTGTTAAATTATTTAAAAATTTTTAAATAAAATTTTATTTTATTCATACTTTCAATCAATTTTTATATTTTTATTTTAAGTTAAATAGATATTTTATAATTAATAATTATTTGTTAAAATATTATTTATTATTTTTATATTATGTGATGTTAACATGATATAATAAATGATGATATAATATTTTTGCTTTTTAAGGTAACATTACATAGGTATTATTTTGACGTAAAATAATAAGTGACGTTTTAACTAATGGCAGTTAATTCATCATTAATTATAAATTTTTATTTGATTAAAAATAAAAAATATAAAAAGTTAATTAAATGTAATATAAAAATAAAGATATATTTAATTTTTTTAAATATTTTTTCAAACACTATACTTCTATTTTTTAATGTGAAATTAAAGTTATAAAGTACAAAAATTCTAATTTAAAAGGTAAACGATGTTCATGGAATGAATGACCCAAGATTCCACTCATGTTTAATTAATCACAAAGCAACAAATTTATCTATTTTTAATTAAAAATAATTAATAAGTTTTTGTATCCGTTAAAAGAGTAATTAGGAAAATGCTTGGGCAGAAAGTTTCTGCAAGTCGGTTTTCTATTTGTTTTTAGCCAAACCCAAAATCGGCAGTAAACGTATTTTCCTCTACTTCTATCAATTACGATTTCCCTTAAGTCGGCTTCAAACGTGTTACCTCTACTCCTCTATTAATTAGGAATACCCTTGAGTGATATATATACATATATGTATACAGAGAGAGAGAGGAAGAGCTTCAATCCCAATTAAAATCGTAGTGATTTGTGAATAGGGCTCGACAGTTTCGACCTTCAACTTAGGGCAGAAGACGAAGTAGTGCAAAAGAGAACAGGATGACGGCGCCTGGCAAAAAGCCAGTATTGGTTCGACAAGTCTTTGCTGAGGACTTGGAACGTGAGTTTGCGATAATCCGTAGTGCAATTGATAGGTACCCTTTTGTCTCCATGGACACAGAGTTTCCCGGTACGATTTTCAAACAAGATAAAAACCTCATCCATCAAGCTGATCCTGCTATCAATTATTTGTTCATGAAATCCAATGTTGATGCCTTACGTATTATTCAACTTGGTTTAACTCTATCTGATTCTCAAGGTAATTTACCAGATTTTAATACTCCATATTGTTATGTTTGGGAGTTTAATTTTAAAGATTTTGATTTTGAGAGAGATTGTTATGATAAAGAATCTATCAAGTTACTTAAGATGCAAGGTATCGATTTTGTAAAAAACAAAAAAAAGGGTATTGATTCGAAAAATTTTGCGAAGAAGATTTTGGCTTCAGGATTGGTGTTTTCTTCTTTGACTTGGATCACGTTTCACGGGGCTTATGATTTTGGGTTCTTGATGAAGATTTTGACACAACATGAGCTGCCATATGACGTCAATTCCTTCATGGCACAACTGGTTTATTTCTTTGGATACAAGATTTATGACATTAAGCACACCTTCAGGTTCTTCGGTCTGCATGGTGGCCTGGAGAAAGTGGCTAAACTTTTAAATGTTGCTCGGCTCACTGGGGTGAGCCATCAGGCAGGGTCCGACAGTTTGCTAACCCTTCAATGCTTGATGGAACTGAAGCAGTCGAAGGTTTTTGATCGCATCAACTACAATCGAATGCTGCCTGCTTTGGCATTGTATGGACTGGTTACAGTGTTAGGATGATATTCCTTCTTTATTCTTTTTGTTAATTTTTTTTAGTTTATGATATTATATTAAGAGTTTTCGTTAGCAATTCTAAAGTTTTTCTTATCTCCGAGATTGCTTGCCTGTTAAGCTGGTTTCTGATAAAAAAAGAGAAAAAGGAACAAAGGCCATGCACAGAAAATTTATTATAGGAGGCTTAATTAATATGCCTTTGTTATATGATAAATCAAGAAAATAAGAAATTTTAAAGTCTGGAAAAGAAAAATCAGAAAATTTTGAAAATATGGTAACAGCCCATTTACCTTTTGTAGTAAATTTATTGTAAACAGATATAGCATTCTTAGTGATTTTTTGGACGAAGAGGAGCACGCAGCCAACTTATCTTAATCGTATTGTATGCACCATTGTTAAAAAAGCCTACCCATGGTCGTATGAGGGGGTAAATTCGCTAACACTGCTGCAGAAGCAGTGCCTTTGAAGAGTACCGAGCTTCCACTGGAAACAAAGTTCTCGGGGAAAGAAAATTCATTTACACGTTTTGGTTGACCGTGCGCACAACACTTTACAAATATTTTTTTGATGAAATCGGACCGACACATTGGCTATAGTTCTTAGAGAAACTGAAGGTATTCGACGTCTAATCACCCCTTAAGCCAACAAGACCTTTCACGTAAAATTAAAGGTCAGTGCAAACTGTCCATGACGGCTTCAAGAAACAGCATCAAAAACATCCAGTTTTGGCTTCTGTTGCATTCATGGGGAACATTTGGGAATATCCATATGTACAGAGTAACTAGTTTGACTCTAGATATCAGTTTAGTATATGCACAATATTCAACAGAGGAAACTAAACCTCCTAAACCAAAACAGCACCGACGGGGTGACTATCCATATACACAAAAACACATATCTTTCACTGCTTCTAATCAAGGTTTTCCAGTTGAGGAGGTTGAGTTGCCCTGCGAAACCACGTATTGAATGCTGTGACCAAGTGGGGGCAATCTTCAACATTTCTGGTTGAGAAGCTGAGACATTGCCGCAACAACACTTGTGCATCTGACATTGGCAGTGTGGAGATAATTCTCAGGAATGTCTCCTCCAATTCCAGGTATAATGTTTTATGACTGGGCAGCATGGGTGAGACATTGTCCTTGCACACATTCAGAACAGGAAGCCAGTCTTTGACAAGCTTCATTCTAACCTGAAACTTATAGAGACCAAAGTCAATTCAACCACCCATGATGAGCAAGAAAATAAGAAATACTTCACTTCTCTAAACCTCAAGCACCAAGCATTCATTACAACCGAGGTTTCAAACATAATTGAGATGCAGTTTTAAAATAAAAAAGAAGCAGCATACCATTTCACAGCAAAAATTGGCTTTTGCACTCAAATCTTGTATAAACAAATAACTCTATCCTTTGGTACACTGTATTTTATCACTCAATCTGGAGTGAACACATGTTCAGACCCTAGTTTTGCTTTAAAGAGTGATCAGTTTTAACAGTCTTCAGAAAATCACTTTTTTAGACTCTGAGAAACAAAAGTATTGATATTTCAAATACACTTGTTAGATTGAAGCACATTAAGACTCTGATTGATTCATGCTTTTACTTTTTGTCTTTTGCTATTTGTCATTGGTTTTATATTTTGTTTTTCTTTTCTTTCCCTTTTTTTGCATAAAGAACCAAAAGCGAAAAGCGAAAACATCAATCAACAAAACCTAAGTAGAAATGAACATTGACAGATGAAATTATTAAAGGTTCCAGCTGATACCACTGGAATTTAAAAACAGTGTTTAAAAAAATACTAGAATGAGTCGTTACCAATTGATTTTACAAACTACCTTGAGCAGGCATATCAATCAAACGGTTAGATTACCCCGAAACACCACATTGGATGCATTTCCCCTTTTAAAGGAAACTGATTGCGCACCACAGTTGAGTCCCCATATTTTATTTAACCAAATGAAATGTATTCACAGTTGGCAAAATAAAGTGATCAAGGCCTAGAATGAAATAACTACCCTCACTTAACACTTCAATTAGATTTTCAAAGACTCGAATGAAATTTATTTAACTAAAGACTTGAACATACTTTCAGCAACTCATTGAACAGAGGGTTTAGGATGTTTCAGAATTATGTTTACATTTGAGCTTAAAGGAGATCTTCCCAATTTATCATCATAACTTTTAATTGAAAACAACTTGTTTCTCTAGGCTATTAGTTCCCATAACTTCATAACAGTTTCCCTACCTGACAAGCCACAAGCACTCCATTAGAAGTACCAGCAAATTCATATTGAATCCACCAACAAAACATAACATCAGATTTCCCAATATATTAAACATTGTATAGTGAACACCTGCATTTTCATACGGTCAAATAATTGCCAACAAAACCAATACCTGTCTAGCAGCGATTATTGTTCCAGTAGCAACTGCATTGGCAAGCTTACAAGTACACCGAAGCAAAACAGCAGGGAGTCCCGGAACAAAATTCCTCCAAGCATCATCCCTAAAAGCTCTCTGCAAATCCGCTGTAAACGCAGCCTGCTCACTCCACTCCTTCACGGCTGAATCCGCCACCCTCAACTCAATCATCCTCTCAACCAACCAAAACAAATGCCTCCCATTGGTCATCGCAGTATGCAAATTCAACCTCTGTATCGCCTCCGTCTCGTTATGATCCCCTCTAAAATCAGGGCTTGAATACTCCTCCAAACTCTCTTTCACAATCTTCAAACTCTTCTCGAACTCCCTCTCCAGAACCCTCCTCGCCGATTCCCTTAACGAAAAATCCCTCAAAAGTTTCGCCACGAAGGCTTTAACAAACGCCATATTCGGATGACTATGAATCGCCTCCAAAATCAATCCGTGCAACATTTCTTCACAAGAATCATCTTTCCCCAGCGAAACCCTAGCCAGAAGTTCCTTTGATTCTTCCTCGTGCAGGAACGGAATCAAGCTTAAAACTCTTTTCTCTTCCTCCTCGCTCCAAGGCACCGCTTCTAAGAATTTCACGCATGATTTTACGCAATCTTCGAAGAGTATTTCGAGAGCCACTGGGAGGATTTCGAGTGCGGTGGAAGCCGAGTCGATGACGGTTGCGAAATCGTTCGTGTAAAGCAGTTGAAAGACGGTTAAATGGATGGTGATGGAGTTTGGATTGTCAAGAACGCCGAGATTTAGATGAATTAGGTTAAAATTATCGTCGCTTCTGGAATCTTCAGCGGCATTGTTGTTCCTATCGGTGATTTTTTCATGTTGCCAACGGTCGGATAAAAGCGCCGCGAAATATTTCGAGCGGTTAATGACGTGGGAGTGGAGATAGATCTGGATGTCCGATTGGTCGGCGGAATCCAAGGGGCTGGCGGAATCAAAGGGGGAATGTTCCATGAAGAGGCGGAGAATGACATCAGCGGTGGAGGGATCGTTGAAGGAAGAGGTAGTGGTGTTAGGATTAGTGCTGGTGGCTGTGGTGGAGGAGGAAGAGGCGCGGCGGAGCTTCTGGGAGGACTCGGACATGGTCTTGTCAGGGAAGGTTTGGATGATGGTTGCAGTGGAGGAGATGTGGTGCTGGGCCACGCGCTGCCGCTTTCGGAGGCTGTTTGCGGTCATCGAGGAGCTTCTAAAGGACCTTCCAATTTTGGTTTGGATAAGGAGGAAATGATTATGTACGCTTGAGGGTCGATTTTCAGTTCAAGATTTAGAGGACAGGTGGCGGACCCGGAAGGCGAGTTGGTTGTTTCTGTGTAGATGAGATGTGTGGGGAGGATGTTGCTGCCAACTGCGGCAAAGCTGAGTTAGTCTAGCTTGAGCTCTATCTTTGATTGTAATTTCCGTGAACGCTTTTGCATTCTATTGTGCATTTCGATTTTTTCATTCTCTCTTTCATCTTTTAAGTGAAGATGGGATGGAAAATCAATTCATCATACACATGATGAGCGAATAAGACCGCGACCACATGGTAATTCTACTGAGGACATTCATTTCAAATTAATATATATATATATATATATTTATGCATAGGAATTGGATAAGTCACTCACTCTAGATGTGCTTGCCAAGATGGAAAACCAATCCCAAGAAGAGAGGACTGGCTTCGGAGAGTCGTGAAGAGCACGCACCAATTCTTTATTAGGACTCCCGTAACTTTAACTGCTGAACTGCAATTAGTTAACGAATCCGGTGGCTAAATCTGGGGGCGGAGCTTCCCTCTCTCCTCACGTGACAATGAGGCTCTCACATCTGTCCTGTTTGTTTTGGGTAAACTTATTAAATATCCTCATTGAGCCTGATGGACCTGTCAAGGTGGCCTATGATTCAAAGTTGGGATAAAGAAGCCAGCCCAACCCAAATTGTTTTCCTTTTTCAATTAGAACAGTTCGATTTTGAATTTCTCAAAATTGAAAAAATTGGAAACTAAATCGAAAAATGTTGATAACCAAAACCGAACTACTTCCATTAGTTCAGTTTGAATATCAAAAATCGAACTTATAAAAAATATATTAAAATTAGATATATATTAAATATTAAATAATATTTGATTTACATATTTGAGTTTAAATTTACATGATGTTAAATATAATTTATTAAGTTATAGTAAAATTAAAATTCTTTTGAAAGAAGACTTTGTGTAATGAATAAAATTATCCTTCTTTATATAAGCATTTCTCACTTCGATTAATTCAATTAATAATTTTTTAATCAAAAATCAAACCGATTAAATTATTATAACTAAATACATTTAATTAAAATAACCGAACACCCAATTAATCAAATAAAAAAAAACTCAAACTCACTTCAAATTGAATTTTCACATCCTCATTTTCAATTCATCGAACCCAATTTTGAGTCCAAGACTTCAAGTTCAATGTTTGAGGTCGGCCAGTGTGCTAAAGTTCAAGCTTATCAGCAAACTGCCTGATAAAATTATTGAATTGCTTGTGGGACCTTAAGGACTTGTAAGTCATTAAACACTTTAAGTCTACGCAAATCAACAATTATATTGATATATCATCATTAATTGCTCATTAATTGATAGTCACCTTTAAATTGACAACGGAAATTAACATTAGGCAGGACAACTATTATTTAGCAAACATCAAATTTGCAATTTCAGGCAAAATGCTTGGTTGGTTAAATAATGCATTTGAGCATC